TTTCATTAACTTTATGGAAATAGTACTGGAATGAGAAAATGTCAAAACTCTTATTTGAGTGACCACAATAATCCACACAAGTGTAACTGACATTCTTATTAACCGGTTGTATAAAGAGAGGCATTTAGTAAAGAAGATTTTCTTTTCTTGGGTTGACTGTTAGAGTGATAAAACATGCTTGCAGGGCTATTCTGGTTTTAACAGTTTCTTGCATCAGCCAAGATACCCCAGAGGCAGGAATTATAGTTTACTTTCCTTCCTTGCTGAGATGCAGGCTGAGAGAAGGAGCCCAGAATGTTGAGTTTGTTATTTAGCATATTATCTATTATCCCACATCCCAAAGCTTTTAGACATACAAATCACAACACCCAGATACTGGAGTCATATGACATTTCTTCTCTGTCTCAGAAACAAGCAAGAAGAGAGGAAAAGGAGAATGAATTGGTTTTCACAAAAGGCCGGTGAATGTCTCTATCATTGTCCCAGAATGATCAGTGTTCCTATTTGGGAAGTTTTGGGAGTTCAGTGAAAAATGTCTCCCCTTCTTGGAAGGATAATATTACACTGAGAGCTGCTACTAGGGAATTTATGGGTGACAAATTTGAACAGAACTAGTGTAAGGCTGCACATAGTAAATACTGTCTGTTTTACTCAGGGCGAAGGCATTGCATTCTAGTGGACCCACCACGATCGTTCATGTTGGTTTCTCCTGATGAATATGCTGGGTTCACATGTGCCTGACCACAGGTACCCAGATTCAACATCAGTCCAAGGGAATCCTCAAACCACATCCCTCCGATTTCTAGTTCCTTCAGACTACTCAGATTTGTGCTCATTTGTGTCCCAATTAGAGTAAATGAAGAAATCAAAATGTGTTTCAGTTAGTGCAGGACATAGAAATCACACAAGAGGTATTGTAGTAGCTATTGTTGATTTTCTGTTACCTTGTTTTGAAGTTCAGTATTGCTCTCATTGTTTTGTTTTGATTGGCTTTATTCTGTTTTGTTTCATTTGCTTTTATTCTCTTTAAAATAAAATTTAAAAACAAAGAGGTATACAGCTCAGGTTTCCAAAAGGCTTAAGAATACTTCAGATTGTTTTGTTTTTTTGAAGTATAATATGTTACAAAATAAAGTTTACCTTATTTTTGAGGATTACATTACTAATGTAAAATAATTTTACTTTTAATTTTACTCATTCAGTAAACATAAATTGTATCATTAAGTTATAAATCTGAGTTATATGATTATTATGACCAAATTCTAAAATATGAAACATTAATTCTTTTAAACTTCCTAATAACGCATTGAGATGTAGTTACTACTTGTAGTCCCATTTTAGGTTAGTAAACGGAGACTCCAAAGGATTCGATTATGTGTTGATACATACTTGTGATCTGAACTCAGGAAGTCTGACTCCAGACTACTCTGTCTTCACCACTAATAAAATCAAAAAGAATATAAAAGGGCTGGGGATTTAGTTCACCAGCATAAGCACCTAACTGTCAAGCACTAGGTCATGAGTTTGATTTCCCATACCCCCCAAAAAAGAATACAAAGGCAAAAAAAACCCCTCAAAGACAGCTATCAATGTGGTAATTTTTTCATTTTATCCTATATATAGCTTTACATAAGTGATTCTAGCCTTTATATTCAATTTTTTTGATATATGAAATACTTTTCTTTCCTCCTTTTCTCACTGTAACTCATTGTAACTCATAGTTAAGTTCCTTCAGTCTTGCATAGTACTCCATGGTATACCGCCACCATATAGTAGGGTGGCCTGGGACTTCGAGGGTCCCTGGGACACAAACTTCAAGGTTTGGAACTGAGGAAGTCTGGTTAAACCAGGATGAATTGTTCAGCTCACACACTGCACCTGCCCACTCCACCAGGGAGGGACTCGGCTTCCTCCAGTTCACCCCTCCAGAAACACCGAGAACATTCTGGAGCATGTCTGTTTCACCCAGGTGAGCATTTGTCTGAGGTGTGCACCAGGACCTACGAGCTTGCCTCAATGGTGTCTGCATAGACTTAACCTGTCCCAGCACTGCCCCGGCTTGTGCTCACCCCAATGGTGTGGCACTCCCTGTACCCATGGCCTCATCTGTTCCTGGTCTGCTCTTCTCACCAGTCCAACAGTCACATCTCACTGTTGTTTTAGTTTATATTCCTCTGATTGGTAATGGATTTGAGTATCTCTTGGTAAACCTTTAATTCTTTAGTTTCCTCCGATATAAACTGTCTCTATTCCCTACCCTTTTTCCAACTGAAAAGGCTGTGTTTTTCTTATTGATTAGTTAGTCTTCTCTGTATATTTTAGATGTCAATCAATATCTTAACAAGAAAAAAATACCTAACCCCAGTCTGTTGTTTGTGTATTAACTGGGTCTGTGGTACCCTTCATGGAGCAAAAGCCCTTAATCCTTAAATGCTTTCAAATTTTGTTGAAATAACCCCCACCCACACCAGATTACCAGTTGAGGTGTATTATGTGTGTGTACCAATTTATCACAAGGATTTAATCATCATGTAATGCAAACATGCACTAACAGAAACCCAAACATATTCTACAGTATTTTTTAAAATCTTCTATCCATTTTGTATCTTGCTTTAAAAAATTCCTGAAGCTTATAATGATCTTCCATGTGTTAAATAGTCTTATAAATGTTGTAATGGCCTATGTAATGCTCCCAGTATGTGTGGACACTGCTCTTCTTTCGTTTCATGTTACAATCATTAGCACTAGCATGACTATCATTATGCAGAATTTCTTGTGTTCTTTAGAATATACTTTTAAAGTATTTCTCGGAAGTAAAATTCCAAGCCCATTAATACAAACACCTTGAAGTATACGTTTACACACAAGTTGTCAAATGATTTCCCAAAGAATTGGAAAGAAGAAGATTCTTTTCACCATGTCTACAGCACTATGAACAAGTACCTTCTTTAGCATTCACAGGGTAACCCTAAGAATTTCTTTGCTAGCTTAAGACTTGACAGCCCATTCATATTGGCTGATCATTTATCAAGTATTTTTGAGAGGTATGTTTGGATCCTTTGCCTGTTTTCCTGTTGAGAGCATTCACGAGTCTTGGGGAAATCAAAAACAGAAGAGCTAGACGTTTTTCCATTCTCCTATGTATTTTCTCAGACAATCCTTTAATCTTTCCCCAAACTTTGTGTGGATTTTTTTCTGTTGACTGTATGTTAAATACTATAAAGGGTACTTATACTACTTATGTTAAATACCATAAAGGGTATTTTATTTTGTTTTCTGCTCTGAGTGTGGCCTGTGCGTGAATCTGCATATGATTTCTCTTTGGTGTTATAATTTCCTAAAAGGCCGCTCTGTGTCTTTGGAAGCACACTTGCTTTGGTAGTGTTCATAGCATCTGTGGAATAGCCCTCCCAGCCAAGGGTGATCCAAGCGTCACACATGTTACCAAGAGAGTCCAGTGAGAAATTAGAAGAATTTTAAGGGCTGTAGGTTGGCCATGTCAGCATGTCCTTTTTTTAATTAAAAATAATCCCAGCACTCTGGGAGGCTGAAGCAGGAAAGAGGATCATAAGTTTGAGCACAGCCTGGGTGACTTAGTGATTTCATTAGACCCTGTCTCAAAATAAAAAGGCATGGCTTGGGATTTAGCTCAGCAGAAACACCCTGGGTTAAATCCCCTGTATAAGAGGAGAGAGAAAGGCAGAGACACACAGAGAGACAGAGAGAGGAAGAAAACAAACTCTCATCAGCCCAAGCAGCACCTTTCGTATTGATAGGTGGGTCACTTTTCTTTAATCCGGCCTAAAGGCTTCCATCTTAGGAAGAAGCAGCTTTGGAGGAGGAAGGCATGCAAAACCAGAGATTGAACGTCCAAATAATTTGTTCTGCGTTTTCCATAATTTAATATTTGTGGAAAAAATCCTGGAGCATGTCCTCTATTAATCTCCTTGTTTCCATCAAACACAGAAGAGTGGTATCAATAGTAGCTGACATTTCTAAAGCACTTTAAAGCATTACAGCAAGACTTCCTTGTCCAGTGACTCACTTGTTCTTCACTGTAGCCCTGTGAAATAGACAGTGACCTTCACTTTCCACAGCTGAAGAAGCAAACACAATGAAATGCAGCCTCAGAAAGCAACAGAGCTTTCTCTGCACCAAAGTGTAGAATTAAAAGTTCATTATTATGTTTTTAAAATCACATTATATTCCAGGAAAATAATCTATTGATTGAAAGATATGAAGCATGACGAAAGCAGGAAAAGGTAAAGAATCAAGGAAGCTTTGGAGGATCATAGAAAAGGACACATTGACCACCAAGGAAAACTATACTGAATGAGGATAAATTGAAGGGGTTGGATGAAATCAGGTTACCATAAACTCAACAGTTCTTTTCAAGTACTAAGAAATATTTTATCATTTCTCATTATTTATTCATTCACAGTTTTCTCATTTACTGCAAAAGTCAACAAACTAGTACATCCAGCTCTTGGAGACTGCATACCTAAGATAATAAGGAAGTGTGTCTGTTGTAAAGATGATGACTAGGTAGATAGATCTATACTGCTCTAAGATTTAAGCAGCCCTTACTGACAGCACCCTGACTGGGTTTTTTTTTCTCCTCTTAATGTGAAAACAGAAGAGAATATTGGACAAAGGAATTAAAGGAGATGCATTCAAACCTGATGGTGGTGCCTGGAGTAGGAAGAGTCCCTGAAGGTCAGGGTCTGGGACTCTTCAAAGAATCTGGTGAAGGTTAAAGCCCTTTTGCTTTGGGTGTTAGGGTACAAACTAAAAAGGTCACAAGCCAGCAAGCCCTGAAATCCTCTAAGGTCAAAGAGCTTCAGCCCAAGTAGTGCATTTCAGGTGCTTATTTGAAAGACTATGCAGGTGATCTTAAGGGATAAAGGTATTTTGTCATAAGAATTGAGGCCAAGTGAGATTCTAACTGGTTGGAATAGCCTTGTGCCTTGAAGTAGGTTAACATCACATTTGCATTTCAGGATTTTATGGACAGCTGCAGACATTCTGCCCCCCACATTACCCAGAATCCCAGAGAAGCATGCCACCTGGCAGCTCCTGCAACATGGTGCCTTCCTTCGAGGACTGCCTAGTCCCCACATCTATGGGCCAGGCTGGTTTTGATGTTTTCCACAGAGCCTTCTCAACTCACTCAGGCATTACAGGTACGTGGGGTATCCATGACTTAGAAATTCAGGCCAACTGGCCAGAGAGACAAGATGGGTTCCTGTGACTGGCCTGGACTGGCCTTGACCCAGCGTGTAACTAGCAAATCTGTTGATCTTCCCCGACGTGTCTCATCTGTTCCTTCCTCCCCTGCCCTTCTGCAGTCCTGCTTCCTCCAGCCACCAGGATCTGTCTGTCTCTCACACGGTGACCGTAGCCATCCAGAGAGCCTGCCTGAGTCTCCCCGCTCTCATCCTTACTGTCTGCCCTCGTACTACCCTGAGCATTGCCCTCCAAAACTAAGAGATAAAGCAGCTCACATTCCTCCTCGAATAGTTTCAACAATTTCCAGTTGTGTGGAGAATAGACTTTCCCCTTTCACATGGGATCTAAGCCCCCTTGACTTAGGACGGTCAAACTTCCCAGACCTGCCCCGTGTCTCTTTCCTCCGTGCTTTGCTCCTGACCTTCCCCAGCATCCTTGACCTCACATACCTCTCCCTCTGTCTTTGTAGTGCTTGAAACTTCTGGATTGTTCCTCCTTTTCTTCTGCATCTCTTTTATAACCCCATTCTCTTTCTTTGACTTACTGTCGCCTGCTTTTGAGGCCATTTCCATCCCTCTCTCAAACACTCTTCTTTTACTTTACTACCCTTGAATTTGTGAGCTGTGCTGAGTCATGCTTTGGCAGCTGCTTACTGATCAGCCCCCTCCCTGCTAGGTTCCTTGAGCACAGGGACCTGCCAGAGGGCTGCTGGTTGGTGAAGTGTACCACTGCACTGTGCACCCAGGAGATGCGTGGCCTACTTTTTGACATTCCTGTGTTCTTTCTCTTCCAGTATATGATTTGCCTTCGGCTTCCTCCAGCCTCTTTGGGGAGTCTGTTCGCAGTGGGCCTGAGGATACCACGTTCTTACAGATCAGTGCTGTGGACCGCTGTCCTAGCCAGCTTTCCTCCGTCTATACCGAAGGCTAAAAGCTCCACTGACCTCTGCTGAACACCCAGAATCTTTTAGTTGCTTGCTGCTTTTGTTTTCAACCATCACAGGCTGCGTGAAGAAGGGTGTTACCAAATCAGTGAAACCTGCAATGTCACTGTGTTTTGGGAAAGCAGGACTGAATGGTCAGAACTGGCTTTGCAGGAATATTTGCACTTGCTCCTTTTTCTCGCTGGATTTGCTGGACCAGGTGACCAGCATGACTGTCTTTTCAAAGGGATGATAGAGTCTCACTTTACTGGATACCTGTTACTTCCTGGCTGTCAACCCTCAAAGGACACCGATGAAAGGATGTGGATATTAAAATGTGGTTTGGGGACAACCCTTGCTGAAAACTCCAAAGAGAGAAGAGCCCAGTTACTGGAGCACAGTGAGCTGCCTCTCCCAACTCCAGATGGTGCAAAGCCAAGCGTACTGAGGGAAATCCATGTCCAAAGCATAGCGTGTTCTCAGCTCTCAGAAATTCCTGGGTTTCCTGCCTTCTCTTAGATGTCATCATGCCAACCAATTACAGTCAGTGTTCCCACACTGACAGAAGGTTTTTTGTTGTATCAACCTACTTTACTTTTTTCATTTTAGAGACTTGTTACTTACATCTGCTTTAAAAGGAAAAAAAAAATCACACTTAAGGTTTGGTTCTTTGGGCAGAAATCATGACCATTTTAGTCACCCTAGCTATATACATTTTTTGATACCTGTGACTCTGCTTGGCCTGATCTCTGGAATGTTAGTTCTGCCATTCGCAAAGCTATCTGAGGGTAACAGGGTAAGCAGTCACATGTACATGCATGTGCATACACACACACACACACACACACACACACACACACACACACTCCTCCCTGTACCCAGGGCTGCAGCAGGAACCCTCATGGATTGACTTCTCAGTGACTCTGCTTTGAAAATGTTGTTCATAGGAAAAGACCATTTGAAGTGTTTGCCCACTGCTTTCTCTCTGGCACTCCACCTAAGAAGTTCTGGGAGATACGGGGACAGGGACACGTGGCAGGTCATATGTGTGGGTTCCAACAGAAAACCAACCCCAGGATGCTCAGCATCCGTTACTTTGCACAGCCGCTGCCCAGCTCCTTCAGGGTATCCACTCATCTGTCTGTCTTGCCCTGATGGTCTCCCTCCTTGTTTTCACTTCCTCTCAGCATCTCATTGATTGAATTAGTGTCCTGGTATCAACTCTAGGGAAAGTATAGGGAATGGTTCACAGAAAGTGGGCTGAAGAATGACACCATTTTTTCTGAAACTGGTTAGAAGGCCTGGAATTTTTCACAGTATTTGACCATTTTATATCAAGCCTAAAGAAGTCATTTCTGTTGACAGGTTAAAAGATCAAAGGTCTTGTGTCCTAGGGTAAAAGGAATAAAACTTGGCCAATGCCCCTATCAGTTCCAGCATTCTGATGCACTCACATTTCATAGCTTCTTTTCTCTCTTTTAAAGATATTTTTTCTGAACAATTGTACTTATCAAATTGAGATAATTACAATATTCAGCAAGACAGTTAAACAGCTTGGTGTCAGACTTGGGGTCCTGTGACAGTTTGTTTTGTGACAGATGGGTCCTTCTAGTCTGGCTCCAAAATCAGAAATGTTCCACCTTATTCCCATGTTCATTCAGTGAGCAGTAGAACGAGGGGAATGAGGGGCTCAGTGTGGATTTCATTTTTATAGTACACTGAGTTGATCTAGCTTTCTTGCCTCGTAGGCTGTGTTTTAGGGAAAGCTGTAATGCAACTTTCCATGTCTGCGAAAGATCTGAATTAACGTAACACAAATCTGCTCTGCTTTACAGAAGGAAGCACACCAGGCTGGCTTCCTTGACAAGTGAGCTCTGAGGCTGTGTGTAAAGTACCACCGTTCTCGCAGACATTCTGGGTTGTGTTACTTGACCTAAGCAAGGGCACATGCTAACACTGGCTCAGTCAGTAGCATGTATTACATGTCCTTTGTCACATGCTAGAAAGAAAGGAAGGTTGTTGTCTTTAGAGACTGTCCGTTCTTAACTACTGACACTGTAACAAGCAACTCAAAATACATCTCATTGGTGTGAGGAGGAGAAAACCATGAAAAGGCATGGTTGTCACTGCAGTTGAAGTTGTCACCCCTGCCTGTGGCTTCTTAGATAAAGTGGAAAGTAGAAAGGAGAACAGAGCAAGAAACTGAACCGCAGAAACCTAGGATGTCATCTCCCCCTGTGGGTAAGAGGAGATGCTTGTGAGCCAGGCTGCTCCTTCCTTGCCTCACCTGGCCTGCAGAGATCCGAGGAGGAGTCATGTGTCCGTGGCACCTCCAGTACAGAATTTCAAGGCCCAGCCCCGAGACATGCTCATTGTCAGGGGGCTCCTCACAGGGCTGATGCCACAGGTTTGTGATTAGGACCTCAAGGCAAGATGCATTCCCATTCCTTCCAACTCCAAAAGCTATCCTTAAGTTCCAGAATTTCTCTGACATTCAAATGTGTCCCTTGCTGACTTCTTCATTACAGAAGATCTGTGTGTCTTACTATTTTGCAGCAGTAAACGTGAAACTTCGAAAGATCATTCCCTCTCATTTCCTGACCTTTTTAGTCTTGACATGTAGCCATTTTCATTTAAACAAAGATTGCCATTCTTCTTTAAAAAGAAACAAACAAATAAAATCAAAATTCCAGGAGCTTGTGAAAACACACAGCCCCAAGCCAATTATCCTGTTACATTAAAAATAAAGTCAGTATACCCAGGGGACATTTAATTTGCTACATTGTCTTTAATTCCCTAAAGAGACTACATGAAGATGTCAGTTGTAATTTAGCCTCTGATCACCATTTAAATATTTACTGGTCCAATGATGTATCTTCTGTGCCCTTGTTTCCCTCAGATTACCTAGGTGATCCTAAAACAGAGAAAGAGGCCATTAGCAGATCACAGCGTAGTTTCCACTGATAATAACGTGTTGGTTTTGTTCAGGTGTTTTAAAATTACTAGCTGTCAAGCACACTAGTAGACTAATACCGGTTTTGAACAGGGACAACTGTTCAACTCCCCATCAGTGAACCTTGCCTTTCCAGCCACCTTGAAGTGTTGGGAATAGTGACTGTAACTGTTCAGTTTGTTTGGTGTTTTATTTGACTGTTTTATCATGTTGTTTTGTAGCCGCATTTCTTAATGGCACTTTTTGTTGGTGGTGTGGAATTTCTGCAGTTTTTTTGTAAAGAAAAAAAAAGAAAGAAAGAAAAACCAAACTCATTGGAGAAATGGTGAGTGTAAAAAAGAAGAGATTTATTTTGTACAGACAGCGAAGCATCCTGTGTAATGTTGCTGACATAAAGCGTTTGGGGGGGTGGAAATCTGTTTCCCATAAATCACACAGGCTTTTGTACATACTTCTATACACTCACGTAGAGCAATGAACTGCATATATCATACTGGATATGGGGCCCATTTTCCTCTGGAGGCACATCTGGTGCTTATTGTCATAAATCTTTTAAAGAATTAGGTACACTTTTTTCTATTAATATGTATAGTTTTGTGATTTGTCACAGTTATGTTTCATATAATCATAAGTTATTTTGTCTTGTTTCATGAAGTTCTTTTTTATGTCAAAGTGAAATGAAGGGATTGTGCACTTGGTACAGAATAAAACTGGAACTACAGGATACGCCCTCCTGCCTGCAGTCCTTCGGCATGTCACTTTAAGACACGACGGCCAGCCATTGTTTGTTTGTTTGTTTGATTATTTTGTTTTGTTTTGCCATCAGCCTCCTATGTATTGGGGATGGTAATTATAATTAAAAGCAGATGGGGGATGGGTCCAAGGCCAGCTTTAAAATGCCTCATTGCTTTGGGCCAGAGCTGCAGCCTGGATTTAATTATAGATATGAAGACGAAATGGCAGTAAAAATGAATGTCTCCCTGAATCCTTTACATGTTGGGAGTGTCCATAAATAAAACATGAAGCTTTATTTCATCAGATTTAATTAAAGCTTTTATACATGTTTTATTGGTTATTCTATTAATCCGCTCCACAAACTGGATAAATGTGTGCTAGGGTTTGGGGTTTATTTGTGCCTTTTCAATATAGTGCTCCATCATGCTTCAGAAATCCCTCTGTGCTTGGTGCCCCAGGTGCTGGGACTCGGGTGTCTGCCTGCTGGCAGTTACAGGAGGGAGCTTTTCCAGCACCCATTTTCCCAAAACCCTGCTGAGAAAGACACAAGCCTCAGCTTCCCAGGGCCGAGTCCTTGGCCTTTCTAGTCCTCCCATTCCCTTGGGGAAGAGAAAAGGACCTTTACCTCTTTCCGGGAGTCAGTGTCCCCATCTGATGTCCTCGCCATGCTGAGCTACCTTCCTCTGCACTCCTCTGTAGGAAGCAGAGCTCCTACACAGGCTGGCTTCTTACCCCATCTCCAGAAGCATTTTAGGAAGTTCACTTTGTCCTATGTTTTTAAGATGTGAGAATGACTTGAACAGAAGGTGCAAAGTAGAAGAGACCATGGCTCCTGTGTGTTTGTCAGGCCTCAGGGTCTCAGAGAAGACAGATAACCATTTAGTTAGAGCTGGAAACAGCACTAACAGCACTGATAAAATTTAGGAGAGCTCCTTAGCTTCCTAGAGGGGGCCACTGGCAGGAATGTGATGTGGTCCAGCCTCTTTGGAGAGCAGTTTGGTACTGAGCTGGAGAGTCGGAGGTATACATAGTTCCTGTATCCCACAGATCCATTCCTCCTGAGAAGCTCAGAAGTCAAACATGGCTCAGATATAAGATGATTTATAGCACTGTTACTCAACAATTGCCCCAAACTGGAAATGACCCACATGTCCACCAGCAGTAAAACGGATCAACAAGCCTTGCCTAAGTAATGTCACAAACGACGTGCAGAAGGGCCATGACAGAACCACTACCACGCATCATAACTCAGAACTGAGCCTTACAAAGACTGAGAGAAAGCAACACAGAAAGGTGAAAATGCAGTATTCTATTAATGTATAACTCCAAAAACAAGCAAAATCCAACCGGGGAATAAGTGGTAACAATGTAAACAACAACAGAAATACCACAAAAGCCTGACTGGTGGGGGAGGAAGTATACATGGGGGAGTCCTGGGCTGCGGAGGACAATGTTTTATTTCTTGATCCAAGTGTTAGGTTATACAGGTGTTTGCTTTATAACTATTTATCTGTGTACATGTGTTTTATAATAATGCATTCAAATAACAGTGAGAGCCAACTTTTCAGCCTCTATTTTGTGGTACACAAACGTCTGCAAAAAGCCAGATGGTGCGTATTTTAGGCTTTGAAGGCTATCTGGTCTCTGTCTCAGCTACTCAACTGTGCCACCTGCATAGCTCAAAAGCAGCCATAGACAAGATGCAAACAAATGGGTGTGGCTGTGTTCCAATAAAACTTTATTTATGGGTGCAAATCTGAATTTCATCTCACATTCAGGTGACACAAAATAGTCTTTAAAAAAGTCTCCCCTATGTAGCAAAGTAAAAAAATATTCATAATTCATAGTCTATACAAAATCAAAAAGGATTCAGGCAGAATTTAGCCTGTGGACTATACTTAGTGCTGACACTTGTCAGTTGAAAGAATATTCCTTAACCTTCTGATAAATATCCACTCGAAGAACACTGGAGGTGGGAGCCCCTGTACTTGTAATTCTGCCACACTGGGTCATTTCCTAGAGGACATTCATGAGTTCTATTGATTTAACTTCTCTTTGTTCAGATCCTGAGTTCTGCTCCCCTGGATACAGATGAATGCTTACAGCTTGGAGTGCCATTCGACTTTATCTCTGGATTTAATGTTTTTAATAAAAGGAACTGGGCATAGAGAAATCTGTGAGAATTGGAAAATGAGCATCTATTCTTTCCAAGCTAACTAAATATTTGCTGAATCTTGGCAGCCACCGTCAGCCTCTTTCTTCTGAAATGCTGAGGGGTTATAAGCAATAGGAGACTTCATTTCCCTCAGGCCACAGCTCTTATGAGAAGCTGAAACTGCCTCTCATGACCTACAGGGAAAGAGTCAAAAGCACTATAAAGGGCTTGGGATACTGCTTGGCTTTGGGGCATGTGCACAGCATGAGTGAAGGGCTGGGTTTTGTCCCCTGTGAAGTGGTTTTAGCAGAGTCAAGCCCTGACAGTTCTGACTGCTGCCCTGGACAACTCAATGTCCCCTGCCTCCTGGCTTGCCATAATGACCAGCTCCCTGGTTCCCAAACTTGGAGACTTGAGCAGCCCTGACACTGCTGCCTGTTGGCTCCTCATACTTTCAGGAGAGAAGGCAGGTGAATAGCTCTGTGATGAAGTTGGTAGTTTCAAAAACATGGTTATTGATGAGTCCTAAATCATTTGCCAAAATTAATTTGAACTAAATCCTTTTTGTCAGGTCTTTGTGGGGGCTTCTTATGCTTCAGTTTGTTGTATTATGTGAAGTTCTAATATTAAAGTTGCAGAGAGCCTAGTATTTTGGGTAAAATAATTCAAATTTTGAAAAGAAGTTTAACCAGGAAAATGCTGAGAGAACATTCAGTCCAAGTTCATCATTTATGGATAAGGAAACCTGAGCTCATTCATTCGTTCATTAGTGCATTTATTCACTCATCCAGGGATTATTGTATGTCTATCATGTGTAAAGTATATGCAGTTGAGTTGGGCCATCTTCACAGAGCTAAAGAGAATTCCAAGAATCTGCCTGAAAATATTGTCTGGGGAATTTTTAAGGCACTTTTTAGAACTATTAGATGTATACCATAGAACTACTAATTTAAAATGTTTAGTGAGATGGAGGCATCTGCATGTTCAGTAAGTTCTCCAAGTCATTGTTTATGCAAACTGAAGTCGACCACTTTGATAGAGTAATGGCAAACTGTTGAACAAGCAACTGACTAAAAAGCAAACAAAAGAACAAGCTACTCAGCAAAGAAGAACTCCCAATTTCTGCCTGGGCAAACAGGATGGCAGAGTCCAGTTGCCTGAGAGAAGAGAGGGGATTATCAGAGCTAATCCTCAAGATAAATGAAACTTATAAAAGCAAAGAAGCGTACATAGGTCAGAGAACAGGAGTATGTGCACAGTCATCAAGAAAGAAATGTCACCCAACAAGCTTAAGTGGAAGGATGGAGGCAGGCCCACCTCTGCACTCTGAATGCTTCTTCCAAGCCCACCAATGCATTTCCCATGCAGACTTGCTAAGTTCAGAGCGCTGTTTGCAGCCCAGCAGGGAAAGATACTTTCCTAGTCATTCTGCACAAAGGAGTCACCACCAGATTAGTTTGAAGAACGGGGGGGGGGGGGGGGGTCAAACTAGTATCATGTCTGTCTCTGGATCTCTCTGAGCCTGCCTTGTGCTAACATGAACTCTGACTCCAAGAATGAGTGAGTCAGGGGACCCTTTTTCCGAAAAACCACCTTTTTAGTACTATGGAAACAGTTTAGTGGTTCCTTGAAAAGTTAAACATATCATTACCATATGACTCAGCAGCACCACTCTTAATTCAGGAGAATTGAAAGCAGGGACTCAGTTACATTCATGAACTGCATCAAGATGCATGATCAACAACAAACCCTACATCCAAGGGTGGTCCCTTAAGACTTAATGGAGCTGAAAAACTTGTATCACCTTCTGACATCCTAGCCATTATAGGATCATAACACAGCACATTACTTACATTTTTATGGTGGAGCTGGTGTAAACAAACCAGCTCTACTGTCTGTTGTAAAATATAGCACATACAATGATGTACAGTATATACACATTCATAATGGTAATAACACTTTTATATAATAAATATATTATTATTTTATCACTACTTTAGAGTATACTCCTTATGCCTATTTTTTTTTTTTTCGGTACCAGGGATTGAACCCACAACCACATGCTTGCAAGGTAGGCGCTTATGCCACTGAGCTAAATCCCCAGCTCTCTTATGCCTTTTTTAATTGACTGTAGAACTCTATGCTGGCAGCAGCCTCATGACTGTATTCAGAGGCCACACTGAGTGATGGACCTTTGCCATCTAGATCTGTACAAGCAAATTTGATGCTGTTGCACAGTAACAAAATTGCCAGTCAGGCATTTCTAGAATCATTGTCAAGTACTTCATGAATGTCTTTATACACCAATGTTCATAGTAGCATCATTCACAATTTCCAAGGGCTAAAAGCAACCCAAAGCACTCAACAATATGGATAAAGTATGGCATGTAGATGAAATGGATTATTTCTCAACCTTTAAAGAGAAGGAAATTCTGAAACATGCTGAACTATGGATGAATTTCAAAGAAATAAGTTAAACACAAAAAGACAAATATTCTATTACACCCCTTATATGGGGTACCTAGAATAGTCAAATATATAAAGGCAGAAAGTGAAGAAGTGTTTATCAGCAATTGGAGGAGAGGTTAATGGACAGTTACTATTTAACATGCACAGAGTTTCTATTTAAAATGAGATTAGCACAAAATTGTGAATGCACTTAAAGCCACTGACTTAATATGCTTAAAGATGGCCAAAGTCATACATTTCATATTGTGCATTTTTACCACTATTTTAAAGCAGAAAATGCAGGCAAAGCACCGAATAAGATGCTATAATATAGTTGATATTTAAAAAATATTCGGAAAGCATCTTGTTAGACTAGTATCCTTACAGGGCTCTCTGTAAACATCCCCTACTCTAGGGAAGGATGGAAGTAAAGGCGGTTATTTCTCCTGACGGTAGAAAGTCATTGCTTCAAACAATCCCTGGCTTGCTGAGAAAGCAGCAATGGCAAAGAAACTGAGGAAGAGATTGGTGGCTTGGAGGGAACCCTAGGAGCGGTTTCTGAATATGGAACACTGGGCCTGCTATGGGTTCGTAGGAATCGAGGGAAAGGAAGAAGAAGGAAGACTGAACATCAGAGTAACAAAAAGAGGTATTAAACAAGGAAAATTTCCAGAAGTACTACTTTAAACCCAGCTGGTCCTGACTGAGCAAATGCAGAGATGTGTCTGAA